GATTTGGCTTAGGGTTTAGGGTTAAGGTTTAGGGTAGGGTTATCCCAAACCCGAAATCCTAAACTGTAAGCCCTAGGGTAGGACTGCCAGAAATTTCGAGGCAGCAAGTCAGCAGCTGCAATGAGACACTTTTGGGGCTCGTCGCCACAACACAATGTCCGGGTGTACATGTCGTCAAAGCAAGAGTTCCTCCGCGTAGCAGGTCTCCATTAACCATTAGCGAAATATAGTAGCTTCCCAAAATAGGTGTAGACCCCAAAATACTCTAGTCCTTATTATTGGGCCCCCCAAAAGGGTACCCCTAATTATGGGAACGCCAACTATCATCCAACTACAACGGCATTTTCGGCTGAGGGACAGGAAAAGGAGTGATTGCAAACGCTGGGTGTTCGCAAACCAGAATACACTTGTAGGGTTTAGGGTTTAGGGTTGTTCACACGTCTTTAGCAAAAGCACGCACATCACTTGTCCCGTCTCTAGAGCGACACATGACGGAATTGTGTCCATCAACCGTACCACCTTGACAACAACGACTTTAGGCTGTGCCAGACAAAAATGTTCAAATCTCGCCTTCTCAAAAGGCCCAGATTTATTGTGCGCGGCCTTTCTCAGAGTGCAGCTGTAACCCCAGGGCTTTGCACTGCTTCACAGTATGTAATATTAGTAATGATGGGAATAATAGCAGTTAATAGCAATGATAATAAGAGAACCAAGAGCAAAAACCAACGTGAGTGCTCCAGGAGATCCGTTCAAAACGACAGGATGCTGTTGCGTTCGTGTAGGTTGCACTTACGGAGAGCTTAAGGAATGAGAGTCCTACCCTAAACAGTCCCTAACCCTAAACCCTAAACCCTTAACTTCTCACCTCTGTGGGCCCAAAATGTTATATATTCACAGGTTAGCTTTGAGTAGTAATACTGTAGCAATCATAGTAGCAATAATGAGTATCATGGTGATAGTAGTAATAATAAGAACATATTGAGCAAACTGTCAGAGGGCCATGTGACAATTGGAACTCAACTCTGTACACATTTTGGGTTTGGGGTTAAGCCACAAATTATATAACTGAGACTCTCCTAGCAGGTGATTCTTAAAGAGTTATATAGGGTTCAGGGTATAGGGTTTAGGGTTTAGGTGTGCATATCTATATATATATATATATCTATCTATATATATATATATAGGGAAATATGAGGGTATATAGGGGAATGGAAAATTTTGGGTTTAAGGCTTAGGCTTATAAACCCATGCAACCCCCCAATGCTAAATGGTACGGGACCATCATATATCAGGCGGAGTATTTCGTATTGGGGGGGGAGGGGGGGAGGGTGCGGGAGTTTATAACCTAAACCCTAAAACCTAAGCAGTAGATTCAATTTTCTTTTCCATTCCATTATATAACCCTAACCCAACCCTACATATAGACATATATATATATATGTATGTATACATGCATATATGCATATATGCTATCCCCCCAAAAAAATCTAGCAAGACAAGCGCAGAAAATCGAATGATTTCCACTACCTATCTGCTAACTAAACAGCAAAGTGTAAAACCAGTAGAACCAAAAAGGCTTCAAAGTCAAAGAGGAAGTACCATTTGTATCTCTCTCTCTCTCTCTCTGTCTCTCTCGCTCTCTTCCTTAGCCCTAGACGCTAAAACCTATATGACTCCACATGAACCATTGTCTAAACTCCTAGTATCCCCCTTAATAACCCCGATAGTAGTCCCATATATAATCCCCTATATAACCCCCTTTAAGGAGTTTAGACTATAGCTCATATAACTCTACATGGGATACCATCACCCAGTATCCTCTGCAAGTCGAGGCAGCACGCATCGTAGGTGAAGTCTGCATCCCAGCAAGTCTGCGGGGCGGAGACCTCTACTGCGATCGAAGGCTTTTAGGGTTTAGGGTTAAGGCCAAAGTTTAGGGTTTAGGGTTTAAGGGTTTAGGGTTTAGGGTTTAGGGTGCCTTTGTATGAAATGAAGCATAATCATTACTCTGAACGACTGACCCAGAATGAAGTCAGTCCAGGCACTCTCCGCCAGAAAACCAGGAAATATTCCGGATGCAGCGGTTGGACTTCACCGGCTTGCACCTTAAGATTCAGGGCTTACGGTTTAGGATTAAGGTATAGGATTTAAGGCTTTACACCTGAAAATCTCAGCCACCATAAACCCTAAACCCTAAACCCTAAACTCTAAATAGTTCCACTTCCTTCCTGGGATCCTGAGAGTGCATCATCAATTTACATCCCTCCTTTGGCTTCAGTCAGATGTTAGACTGCTAAACCCAAAACCCAAACCCTAGACCCTACCCCATAAACCCTAGAACCTAAAACATTGGAGCCCATCTTCAACACTGGCCCAAAGTCAGAAACTAGCTCAGGTTCGAGAACGGGAGATCATGGCTCACATTTTTTGTTCAGGACTCCGCCTTTGAAAGATGTCTGCTCTTTAGTGTTCATGCCTTTAGTCTTCATGCACCCCGAAAGAAAGCTAAAGCACAGCTGAGATGCCAAGCTCATCCTCGACTCTTCCTAGCAGGCATGCCAATGTATTGGGAATATTTGTTATCCTATTATAAGAGTTATTAAGGGGGATGCTAGGAGTTAAGACTTAGCCCATAAAGATATGCTANNTAGCATATCTTTATGGGCTAAGTCTAAACTCCTAGCATCCCTTTTAAAAACTCTTATAATAGGAACCCTATGTAGTCACCCGTACAACCCCCTCAAGGAGTTTAGACTACAGCTCAAATGCAAGCATCATCACCGACGAGATCCCAGAAGACAGCTCACATGCCTCAGAGACTTGCCTCTTGGCCGTGGATTGCATCACACGATCACCAGTCATAGCCAGGTTGGTTATCCGAGAGTATCCCAAAACTAGGGTCCTATCTCAAGCTGACAATCGATGGCACTAAGATCCTTGGGGCAAAGGGACCCAGAAGAGACTCGCGCTTTTTGAGAAACCACGTTGTCAGCACTAAGCAGTTTTCAACAAGTTTGACTTGAACATATAGTGCACCTCTGTCTGAAGGCTGGACTGTCTCTGGGCCTGTGTACAGGACTGCAGACTCAAAGCCCTGGGCGGAATTGGAAAAATGTCGCGAGAGATTCTGGCTGCAGTATTGTGCCAGAGAACCGCACATGCATTCTCCGTGGATCATTGCTTGTACTTCATTGTTATAGTACTTGGGCCTATTATTTGGGCTCTTGGACCCTTAGGGATACGTAGATATATATATATATATGCACACATGGGCACGGGTCCTTGAAGGCATTTCGCAGCAGGAAGTTTTGGCGGAGGATGTCCGGCATGTCTCCACGCACAGTCAGATGAACGACCTTATCATCTCAGGGCCAATATACAATAGGGTTTAGGGTTTAGGGTTTAGGGTTTAGGGTTTAGGCTGTAGGGTTTAGTGTTTAGGGTGGACCCCCCACCCAGTAATAGTGACTATAAGGCATAATAGGGATTATACTAGGG